CAATAGAAATTGAGCCTACGATAGAGATCTGTCTTCTACCGGCTAACCGCAGTAATGCTGTGTCTGATGTAAAATCAGAGTTTTCAGTTTAATCGTTAATTTTTTTAGTTGAAAACTGTGCACAAGTGGCGTTAAAGTCATTTCTTCGAGAGCTAAGTAGCGAAGCTACAAGCTAACTACGACCGGCTTGCCGTAGTGTTGCGGTATTCGGACGCATGCGCAAAACGCTGAGTTCCGTTGAAATCCTTCCGTTCATCCTCCTGCCATACCGTCTTACAGATGAATAAAACACACTACAAAAACATTCATGAGACAAGGCCACCTACTTCAGTGTTTCCCCTAGTTAGCTTGCTATGGCGGGGTGATCATCTCATCCATGATTTTTGCTGATGGGGGCTCAGAGACATGTCTGAGCACAGCTTGTACTAACAGTTTTTGAGCGGGGGTGGGGGGCGTTCAACATGAGGGAAGAGGCAATGTGAGTGCTGCCTTTGGCTTTTTAGCTAGAGAGCCTGTATTTTGCGCCGCTAGCTTAGTGATATGTCAGTGCCAGGTGGGTGTGGAGGGGCAAGTTCAGTTTGGTAGGCGGGGTGCTCAGTTCTGTTGACGGGGTGGGGCACCCTGCCTGTATAATGGTAGGGGAAACACTGTACTTCCATTGTTTCACACTAATGCCCCAATTTTTGGTGCTTTTGGTAGTTATATATATATATATATATATATATATATATATGAAAAGAAAATCACAAGTTTGAATAGTTTATGGCTAATATTATTTAAAATGTATTAATTTTTGGTTTACCACTGATGTACATAAGATTCAAGAACAAAATTGCTAACTTAGTTGACTTTTAATCTTTGTAGGATTATTTCAAGTTCAAGTATTTTATTGTCATTCTCATCACATGAGGTGAGGTGAAATGAAATTATGTACACAGGGCCCCAGTTACACCCAGCAATAGCAAAGCCTTCCAACCGCCACCAAAATCTCCAAACCTTTCCAACCTTATTTAAAAACTTTAATAAAAGGCGATCACCTTCTTCGACAGTCCACAGCACTGACTCCATTGCTTTTGACAAGCTGAGCTGCTACAGCTCCACGAGACTCCAGCTTTTAATTTTGGTTTCTGACAACGATGCAGTTCTGTAAGCAGGAAGCTGTGAGGAACCATTTACTTGCAGACACAAGGTTCTAAGCAAATTATGCTACTTGAGGTTTTTTTTTTTTTTTTTTTGGTTAAGCTAAACCTTTGAGGAACAAGAGAAACACTCAACTGAGAGGAAACCTTAAAACTGCACAACCTGGAACAGTCACCTTGAGGTGTTATGATCCAGTCAAGCATTTCATTCTGCAGATCAGGGGATTTTTATTATATAAAATATCTGTATAACAAAAGGCATTTTATTGCATTCAATAATGCCGTTTGTCTGTGACATCAATTAACAAATATTGTCATCTATACAGAAAACACCCAAGTTCAGATTTAATCAGCTTCATTTAAATCTGCAGTCTCAAGACTCAGTCAACCAGTCAGTATCTGTTTAGTTTTTTTTAAGCGTTCTGTGGAAAGGTTGTGAACAAAATCCTACTTGTTGTAGACAGCTCTTTGAACAACTGAAGTTTGGTAAAATGGAGCCCGATTCAAATGAAATGACGAGCTTGATCGCTAGCAAAGAGCAAAGTGGAGAGCTGCCGTCTGAAAATAACTACAATCTCAAACGGGGTTTAAGCAAACACTAATTTATAAACTTTTAAACTATCCATTTCTCATTATGCAGCCATTTTGGCAGAAATATAATGATGTTCCTGCTGTTCCATTCATTTGACAAATTGATCTAATTTCCTTAAAGTAATTGTTAAAATTGAATCGTTTTCATTTTATACTATTTCTATCTTAACATGCGATTCTTGGCCTGCCATTGTGTATCCGTTCCTACCAAACCCAGCCGGTCGAAGCAGATGGCCGCTTGTCCTGAGCCTGGTTCTGCTAAAGGTTTCTTCCTCATGAGTTTTTCCTTTCCACTGTTGCCTGCATGCTTGCTCAAGATGAGAGTTCTGCAATGTAGTTAAACTCAAAGCAGTCTGCTCCTCAGATAATAATGTTAAGTTATTATTTTATACATGAATATTTCTGTTCAGTGCCCTGAGATGACTTCTGTTGTGGCTTGACGCTAAATAAATAAACTGAATTTCATTGAATTGTACCAGAAGTGCTGCAGCAAGCTGCCAATGTCCATCCTTACTCCTTCAAATAACTGTAAAATTCAGTATAAACAACTGTGTAATTTGAAGCTAGCGGTTAGCTTATTTTTCACGTCGGGGTCACCAATGTGGAAGTCGGTAGAAAGTAGGAATGCGCGATATAAACGGTATATGGTAGAAACGATAGAAATTTAGCCTACAATAGAGATCTGTCTTCTACCGGCTAACCGCAGTAATGCGGTTTCTGATGTAAAATCAGAGTTGTCAGATTTAATCGTTACTTTTTTTGAGTTGGAAACTGTGCGCAAGTGGTGTTAAAGTCTTTTCTTTGAGGGTTAAGTAGCGAAGCTACAAGCTAACTACGTCCGGCTTGCCGTAGTGTTGCCGTATTCTGGTGCATGCGCAAAACGCTGTGTTCTGTTGAGTTTTTTTTTCCCCCGTTGAAAGTTAAAGTAAGCATTGGTCAGCTTTAGAGAAACCTGCTCTCTGATCTGTGAAAAGAACGCTGTGTTGTGTGATTTTACTGCGAGACCCTCTGGTCAAAGCCACAGACTCATTTTGTGTCAGCTCTCCTTAAAGCAGGTGGCGCCAATTAGAGAGTTGGAGGGTGAAGTGTTTCAGTGTAAAATGCTGCTCTGTTGCTGTTCATTTATTAAGTAAGACTGGAAACTGCTAACAACATATTCTTTTGTTTAAAACATATGGCTAAAACTACATTTGATATCTTTTGCACTGTTTTGCACTACAAGAAAGAAGACTAATACTTGATTTGTTTATTATTTTAAAACTCTCTTGACCTAGTAGTGGAATTTTCTTAATTCAAAATATATGATGGCAAAAGGACACCTTATGCTTTTTTTTTTTTTATTCCTATTGCAAATTTTATACCAAAAACATATCGCGATATATATCGTTATCGCCACTCTTCACAATACATATCGTGATATGAATTTTATGCCATATCGCACATTCCTAGTAGAAAAATATTTTGAGTCTCGATTTATTCTCTACGTCTTCCAACATCAAACTCAGAAAAAAAGAATGATTTACAATGATCTGCTCTTTTTATATTCTGTCCCTTTCACAATAAGAGCACGTTCTGACGTGAAATATATATATGTGTCCGCCACACAGTCAGAATTAAACCACATTTCTCAAAACTGGTATTTTACCAAGCTATCTGCAACAGGTGAGATATTAACTCTTAAAGCCTTAAAAATGATAATAATAATCTAAGAAAATCGGACGACAGTCTTCCTAAAAATAACCCTCTCCTCCTGTGTGCTCCACCCAGATTTTCCTGTGTGCAGCCCAACAGGAGGCAGAGCATCCAGCTGCCGAGAAGACACGCGCGTGCGTGGGACATGTCACCGGACAACCTGATGTTTTAATTACAATGACATTTTTTAAAAGTCACACGCCCTTTTCCCCCCAAACACAAACAGCAGCAGCGCGACGCTGCAACAGAGTACAGGCTGTCAAATGTTTTCAACACGTCACTCTCCCAGTCACCGTCGGACTGTCCGCTGCAGATTTTATTTTCTGACAAGATCACGTAGGTGAGCACCGACCGTAAGACCACAGAAAAACCTCCTGCTTAGCGCGACAAGAGAGGCTCTGAAGTAAGGTGACACGGATTTAAGCAGAACACCGAAATGTTTACTATAGCCGCCCGGTACACCTAAAGCCAGTACGAGCCGGTGTTGTGTTGAAAAAAGCGCCCCCGTGAGTCGTGGGAAGCGCGTCTGAAAGGCAGTTTGAATAACAAGTGTCGGACGTCACAACATGACGTTTCTCCAAACACAACTATCTACACGTATTTAATTTGCCAATCTAGGCTCAACCCCTATAAAAAATCCCTTGCAGTTACTTT